ATTAATGATGTCATCACCTACTATTGTTTTACAGTAGAAAATATGGCAAGACTCCAGAGAGATCTATTGATCAGAAAAAAAAATAAAAACATAAAAATATAATAAAAGTAATAAAACCCATAGCATTTCATGTAAACTTGCATCAGTAAGAACAAGGAAATATGACACTGCGCACTGCACTTATTGATCAATAAGATTATAAAATATTTTATGATATCTAATTACTTTGCTTAACATAATCTTACAAATGAATAAAGCAGATACTACATTTCTTATTAAAAAAATGTTTCTTATAATATTTTATTATGGGGGTGATGTCTTATTTCATGGTTCTATTAACAAAAGTTAATAAGGAAACAAGCATTGCCAACTAAACAACCCAAGGGTTTTAGTCAGTAAACAGTAAGTTGTGGTGACATGACAAACAAGTTGCAGAATTGAGGCCAGACTAACAATGTTGGACAAGACCTCATGTCAAATACATTGGAGAATGTGTCCACACTCTATGTTCACGTTTAAATGCATAAACTTGTAGTATACTTAACGTAATGCATGTTTGTTTATTTTATTATAATGGTAGTTATACTAATAATCCCCAGAGTATCATCACGTGATATTTAGCATCTCGTTACAAAGTGCATCCATCAATATTTATAGGTGTTGCAAAGTGTATTAAATATAAGTAGTCACACACTGTATGCAATACAATAATTTGCCTGCATCTTTTCAGTTGATTGATATTGTCAAAATAGGCAGACTGAATAAAAAATAAAAGTTTAATCAGTTAGTTTTCCAAAGTCATCCAACTTCTAAATTATATGAGAAGAGTGACAGGTTGTATGAAAAAAAAAAAATGGATTCTTGTTATGCTTTGCTTTATATAGATCAAGTAAAAAGTCTGTGTCCCAGATTTCTGATAATGAATTAAAGGCATATTAACAGAGAACACCTCATATTCTTATTAGTATAACATTCTGCAGCAATTGCAAATTCAAATAACTCTGCTTTATTGGCCAATGCAACATAAATGTATGTTAATATGAATAAATTACAAAACAAATTAATAACAGACTGCAACAGACTGAGCTCCCATGAGGCCTGCTAGCTTAAATCTTACTTTAATTCAGGTTATAAAATGTCATGGGCTCAGACAGCTCATCAACCTCTTCAAAAATCAAGGGAAAGGTGCAAGCAATGGGCAGTATAACAGACACACAACAATCTATGCTGTAGAAAAACACACAACTTTGTAACAAAGTATCACTGTTTCTCCTGCAGAGTTCCCAAAGTCACTGTTACACACATACATTGCATCCCTGTGCTGAGCAGTGATTGCACAGCTTTTTCCAACATCTAAATGTAAAATGTGTAACCTTGCAATCTTTTATATTTATTGTGTCTTGCACACACTGTATCCCATATCATAACACCTACTTGTACAGTAAGTAGCCCTGTACAGTTAGTAGCCCTTAGATCTCACTGTACAGTGTGATGTAAAGTAAGAAGGTGTTTGGATACTGTGCAGTGTTATTGGAGGGGATCACAACTTGACACAGCTAGTCCAAGGTTACATTTATAGAACACAATGTATCTATCAGCATCTAACATCCAGACATTCTATAAAACAATGCAACCCTTTGCTTCTTAAACGGTGTTCTAAACTCAGCCTGATAGTTCTCATGCCCTCTCATCACACACAGCCCACCTTCTGCATTCCAGGCAAAGAGTTAACAAGCAAACTGTGCTGTCAATATTTAATAACATACCATCTTTACTAACTAGTCTGTCTTCTGACTGTCTTAGAGTGTCTCTTCCCCCAAACTGAGAAGGTCCAACAAGGAGAAAGATAAAGGGTGAAAGCTTTTTTTGGCATCCCTCCCCCTTTGTGCCAACATGCCCCCTAGCCTGCATAGAGTGATGGGCAATGGACAGTACCTGGTGATGTCAGGGCTGCAGCAGGTAGTCAGTGTTGGAAGCCCAGGCAGGTTGGGGGCTGTAGAGAGTGCACACACACCACCCAGTGCATGCATACACTCACACACACACCTCCTCTCACAGGCTTCACGACCTCACATCGGGAGGGGTGGCGTCCTCCTCCGCTGCTAGGGGCAGCCTGTTCTCTGTGCGGGCACTGGGCTGGCTGCCGCTCTGGAGGAGCTCTGGGGTTTGGCTGCCCTTCCACGGGTGATCAGTGACCTCTGGCAGAGGGTGAAGCCAGCGAGCCCCGGTGGAGAGGACGGCGCCTCCCTGCACGCTTTGGTTGCGCCGGGCGATTGGACCCAGGACGTCATTCACCCCTCTCTGCCTGTCTTCTGAATGGGAAGTGTGGAGTGGGCACTGCCAGCCTGCCAGGGCCCTCTCTACCCCTGAGTAAAATCAGGCATTGTACCTTCACTGTGATACTCAGTGCCAACCTCTCTCCAGGGCACTGGGGCCACCTGGGATCAAGGGTTGACTGACAGCTGGCATTAATGCTTGGCAGCCCCCCTTATCACTGCCCCAAATGCCAAGTCTGTTTGTAGTCTTCCAGCCTGGGACTTTGTACACAAGAAGGGCAGGAAAACTCCTCCAGTCCACTCCAGGATAGCTTTCCAAGTGGAGTTCAGCTGCTGCACAAGCAGGTGACCCAAAGAGGTTCTGCAGCAGCTGTGGGTTTTATTACTCAGCTCAGTCAATATGCTGAGCTCACCCCCTGATGCAGTCATGTGCTCCCATGCATGATGCTGTTTTCTAAAGCCTTTTCTTTGCCAGGAATATTCACAGTAAATTGTGTGTGATTTTTTTTTTTTATGTTTTTTTTCTCACTGAGTGATGGTTATTTATATTGCTTGTACAATATTGGGAAAGGTTTACTGTAAGGAATAAAGGTTCTGATCATATGAGCAGCTAATAGTCATCACTGCAAATTAGTTACTAAACACTATAATTAAAAGCAAGCAGTTACATTGCCATTGATTTGTTTATCATTTTAATTTTCTTCTTGCTTTTTTTGGGTGGGGGGGAATAAAAATAACTTTTTTCTTATCCCACTTCCACATATAAGGGACAAGTTGTGCATTTAATCAACGCTTTGCGGTAAATAGTTAATCTTATAAACAAATCCTAAACTGGGCTAAATCGATATACAATGAATCTGGCACGGTTATAATCCATTAGTAAAGTATGGGTCAAAAGAGCAAATTTGGAAAATATTCAAATCCATCATTTTGGATAATTTGACCTAAATGTGGCAATTTCCTTCTTTAATCATTCTCCTTCACTTACCAATGAAATAAAAAAGTAAATAAAAAATCCCTATCAGGGTTATTCACTAAAATGTGAATTGTCGAAGGGAACTGACCAATAAAATTCTAAATTTAGACCTGAATAGCCAAAAATAACTGTATTAAAGAATTTTTCCAATTATGCTATTTTGCATTAAGATTTTGAGATTTCCTCAATTTTATTCCCAGATTAGTTAGTAACGCTGTAGCAAAATAACCTGAATTAGAAAAAAATCTCCAGCGTGTGTATTGACAATCGAATATAAAATTTTACGCAGAAATAGCCCAAATGGAAATACAGTTGAGCTGCAGAATTTGAAAAAAAGTTTTAAAATGAGGGATTCTAGATTACACCCCTGGAATGTACCTGCCCACTATTCTTGTAAACCGCACCCTGACCTGTTGAACACTGCCCATTTAACCCAATGAATGCCAACCAGCCATGATGATGACTGACTGCACCAGTGTCATTAACCTCCTTCCACCTTCCATCATCTGTATCTCTACTAGGACCTTTTCGGTCCTGCACACCCACTAGCATCTCCAGCACCACCAGCAACAAGATCTCCTGGCAGGAGGATTGTGACAAGATGATGACTGAGCTCTTCTCATTACTCTCCAGCCAAAAAACACAACAGCTGAGTCACCTCCCACATCGGAGAGCTTCTGGCCACTCCAGTTACAACTGTAGGCATTCTAAGTATATCACCTTATATGAAGAGTATATGTGCCTTACATATTTTTATGCATAGTGTGCTAAAGGTTATGCTAGAGCAGAGAGACCAAAGCTAGATCCCATCGTTTGCAGAACTACACCACCCATGATGCTTTGCAAGCCTTAAGGCTTTGGTCTCCTGTGACCCACCCTATTCAGATGTGTTTTTAGTGGATTGATTTTGGCCTTATTCGTATGAGACACTGAAACACATTGCACATGGACTTGTTTCCTTTGTTTTTCATGTGCTATCGTGGTTTAGACCTTCAACAAGACCCAGGCTTTAATTTCTAAACAAATATGCAAGAAAAATATTGGCCACTGGGGGCGTGGCTTGGACTCCGAGAGTGATGGCAGCCTAACTCCAGAGCTCCGCACCAGAGGCTCAGTAAAACACGTTGTAATCAGCGACACTCGAAAGATCAATGCCCCAAAACCGACGCTAACACCAGTGCAACATCGGGGTTATACCCACAATATGTCGCAACAGAAAGCAGCAGCTAAGAAACATAGAGGCGACAATCCCTCTGTCCCGGACATGCTGGCCGCCATTAAGCTTACACCACGTGCAGCACACGGAGCAGAGAGCCCGACGGGCGGGTCATCCATGGGCTCCCCGGCCACACCAGCCTCTCTCTGCGGACAAGCAGAGGACCTCCAAAACGCCATACTACACTCACCAGAAGAGGTAAAGGGGTATCTGGCGGGAGAAATAGAGAGATCAGCCAGGGAGGTGAAGGCCGAGATATAGGCCATCAGTATTAGAACAGAGGCCATGGAGGGCAGGCTGGAAGATGTGGTAGCAGCACACAATGATACCACCACGACCACCAATGCACTCCTAACCAGAGTAGCTGAACTGGAAAAGAAGCTGGAAGACAGCTCCAACAGAACAAGGTGCAACAACATGCGCATCCAAGGCCTGCCAGAAGAGGTCAGAGACGGAGATTTAGAGCAAGTAATGGCGGGGTGTTTCAGAGCCAGCCTGCCACAGATCTCAGAACATCTATGGCACGTCGACAGGATTCACAGAGCACTGCGAGCCAAGGAACCACAAAACAGCCACCCAGGGATGTCATCATCAGATGGCATTTCTATTCAACAAAGGAAGCAATTCTCAAGCAAAGCAGAGTCCAACAATACACATACAAAGGAGCGTCCCTCCAGATCTACCAGGACAATGCTCCAACAACCCTAGCAAGAAGGAGGGAATTTGAAACCAATTGCAGACCTCATCAGAGCAAAGGGCCTACGTTTCGCCTGGGGTTTTCCCTTTAAGATGCTCATCTTCAACAGCCGGAGACCTACAGTGCTGTCGCCATCCATGGTCCCTCCGCGACCTGGGCATTGAAGTACCGGATGACCTCGTTTTGCCAACAAGGGGTCCCAGAGCACTGAGCCTGCTCCCCAGGGACTGGTCGGAGCACAGGGCAAGGCCTACATAAGCAAAGGTGGATGCGATCCGCATCGGATGGACGAGTTCCACTGACACAGGGGCACGCAAGTTGACTCAATACACTCCACAAAGTTGGAACACTAAAGTTAGCATTAAAGTTATATGACAAAGAAGACATGGGGTACACAGTAAAGTGGGGAGGAGGAACGGGGGGACAGGCACGAAACGGTGTATATTGCTGGGACATATATTTAAAAAAAAAAAGAGGTAATAACATTAATATATATACCTTTTTCTAGACATACAATAATACCCCTCCTCTAGACATGAGCAAGTTACCCCTGTGGTAAGCAGGAGGGAGAACCACCAACAGGCTAATCCCAGACAGAACAACTGGTCCCAGAGTTTCTAATGGATGGAATGTGCCATAGGATGCAACCGATCTTAGATCCTCAAAAAAAAGGAGGTGCAATCTCTGAAGTGCTTAGGGACCTAGGCAGGAGAAACTGTAGTAGGGAGAATGGACCAGACATGGGAGGGCGGGATGCTGCTGTCAGTGCAAAGGCGTTGAGTAGTGCAAGAGGGGAAGGAACAAGGAGACCCTCGGGCACGCGCACGACACTGACATGATGGGCACCCGCACCCCCAAGGGACATGGAGAGGGGGACACCACATCACTAAGGACGAAGCCCAAATACTAATAGCCCCATCCCGTAGAGAAGAGCAAAAGGAACAACTACAGCACTTAGACAACATAACATAACTAGCAATCACACAACATGGGGACAATATTGAAAACAAAACAAAAACAAAGGGCCAAATTAGAGGTGGAGGAAAAGCAACTAACGCCCCAACAGGGAAGTTAAGTTGAAAACACGATACAACCCAGAGGCAAATGCAAATCCAAATATACTCAGAGGATTGGCTCGAAGGAGCCTGAGATCGGGAATACTCCATGTCAAGGACACACAGAGCAGATAGAAGATTGTTAAGAGCCTTGCCAAGGTGCTCGATGACTGTACACCTGCCCCGCCTGACACCACCTCTCGATGCGGCAGGTGACCACCCCTGATCGACCTGGCAGGAGATAAGACCGAGAAGTTTGATCTGACAGGAATGAGGATCAAGGAGGTAAAATCTCTACCATGCCTAGTCTATGGTTATAAATGTTATGTTTTCATGTTACCAATGAATGTTTTCTTACCCTATTTTGTTTCTTTTCCCATCCCCACCCACATCCCCCACAAGACAAGGTTCACCAAGCTACAGGGGGGCCACCGGGGAGCACATCGTGTAAAGGAGGACACACAGCACTACGTGCCAGCCGCGAACCGACGCACAAGGTACAGCAGCTCACCACACACATTACCACATGGAGCTTAAACTCACATCACTGAACGTCAACGGCCTCAATGTCCCGAACAAACGCAAACTGACCCATATATCTAATACTTCTAAGATACAAATCACAGACCACATATAGACGAGAGCATACGCAGCCCGAACGCTCCGCAAAACAAGGGGAATAGAAATCGACCATGCTGACATAGCACTAACCCTAAAAACACCAGGGCCACATGCCCCCTGGAGATGGAGACTTAATAACTCCCTCCTTATGAACCCGGAGATCCTAGAGCAGCTTAAAACCGAAATAAATAACTACTTTCAGCTTAATACCACCGAGGAACTATCCTCGACCACAACCTGGGCGGCCCACAAAGCCGTTCTGAGGGGAACCATAATTAAAATAGCGACACACAACAAAAAACAAAAACTAGAAAAACTTACAGAACTACAGAAGGATTTACGTACAAAAGAAATGTAACATAAACAGAACCCAACACAGAACAGACTGGATGAAATACATTAGACATACACTGAGGGACCTCCTCCTAGACAAGGTGAGCAGAGACATCACCCGCTCGAGAAGATTTTACTACGAAAAGTCCAACAAGATGGACACACTATTAGCAAGAGCCATTAGATCAAAACAAAGACACAAACACATCACGTCCATCACTAACGACCAGGGCCAAACCCTCACAACCCCACAAGACATAGCCAAGGAATTCACCAATTTCTTACATAAACTATACAATCACTTCCCCAGGAAAGACGAGACGAACAGGGAACATGTTGAGGCAGTCGCAAAATTCCTGGAAGGGGTAAACCTCCCCAGGCCCACTAGGGAAGACCTTGCTGACCTGGAGGCACCAATCACAACAGAAGAAGTGGAAAGAGCCATAGGGGCGATAGAGGGCAGTAAGGCACCAGGCCCGGATGGGTTCGACGGAGCCTGTTATAAAGCACTGCGAGAAGAATTAGTCCCACACATGACAGTTATGTATCAGGAGTGGATGGAGGGAGGAAGGCCCAATGCAGAGCTGGCCACGGCTAACGTGATACTAATCCCGAAGCCGAGACGAAACGAAAGTTACCAATTACCGCCCCATTTCCCTAATCGACGCTAAGATCCAGGCCACCAGGCTGGGGCACATTCTACCCAGGCTGGTCCACGCGGACCAGGTGGGCTTCGTACCAAACAGGCAACTGTACGAGAATACTAGATGTGCAGTGGACCTGATCTGGTGGGCCGGAAAGACCCGAACGCCTTCTTTCGTCCTTTCACTGGATGCAGAGAAGGCCTTCGACAGAATCCAATGGTATTACATGTTCGCCCTGCTGCGCCATATAGGCTTACCAGAAAACTACATCACAGCAGTTAGAGCACTGTACAGGAATCCACAGGCCCAAAAAGCTATACCTGGGGCGACCCCGAAACCATTTAACCTAAGTAACGGCACAAGGCTCGGCTGCCCGCTCTCGCCGCTTCTCTTTATACTGGCCATAGAGCCCCTCCTACACAAGATCAGGGAACATCCAAAAATAACAGGACTGACAATAGCAACAGATCAATACAAAGTATCTGCATACGCAGATGACATCCTGCTGACAATCACAGATTTGGAAAACTCCCTCCCGAATCTGATCCAACTACTGGGGGAATTTACTCAGGTCTTGGGCTACAAAATAAATATGGACAAATCAGAGGCCATGCCGCTGGGGTTGACGGCCGGGGACACGGTGATGATAGGGAAGACGGCACATATAAAATTAAACCAACAACACATAAAATACCTGGGAGTCAGACTAACGACAGATGTCACGCGGCTATATACGCAAAACAAAACTACACGCCAATGATAAAAACACTAATAAAAGACCTAGAGAAATGGCACTTATGGATCGGTCGACTACATGCTATCAAAATGAATGTGCTGCCGAGGATGCTGTTCCTGTTTCAGGCATTGCCCATAAAAGTTACGAAAGGGGACCTCCAATTCCTACAGACCACAATAGATAAGTTCATATGGGCACATAAACGACATAGAATAGCCCGACATACACTTTACCGACCAAAGGGGTTGGGGGGGACTGGGACTGCCCAACCTGCACCTATACTATATCTCTGCAAAATTGGCCCAGATAATAGAGTGGCCAATTCATCCCCTGAGGTACGCAGATGGGTAGACCTGGAATCCTTAATAATGGGAACAGACCTCCCCCAATACTGGATCTGGGTACCTAAAACCAACAGACCCGCCCTACACCCAGACTGCCCAGCAATAACCAACTCAATAAGAATATGGGACGCAAATTCACACAAATACGCACTGATCAGAACGCCCTAACCCCAAATCTGAGAAACAGAGCATTCCCACCGGGCATGAGGGTGCGAGACTTTAAAGGACTAGAATATGCAGGCCTACAGAGGTACTACCATCTATATAACGGAGACACATTCAAGACATTTGAAGAGTTAAAACACATGGCATCACTACAAACAAGGGACCTCTTCAGATACATCCAATTAAGGGATTTCGCTAAACACCCCAGAATAAAGGAGGCAGCCAGGGCCCCATTGACTAGCTATGAGAAGTTATGCATGACTGAATCAACACATAAGGGCCTGATCACCATACTATACACACAACTTAGCGCCCCAGACAGGGACGCCGAGCCCCTCACCTATATCACCCACTGGGAAAGGGACCTACAACAAACACTGGAAGGGGAGGATTGGAGGGACATTTGGGAAGCAGCAGCCAAGGTGTCCATATGTGTAACACTTCAGGAACAGGCATATAAGACCCTCCTGTGGTGGTACACTACCCCGGCCAAACTCTATAGAATGGGGAAAACCACCTCAGATACGTGCTGGAGGGGATGCGCCGAGAGAGGTTCGTACATCCACATGTGGTGGACGTGCCCTAAAGTTGCAAGGTATTGGTCAGACATAGAGATATTAATGGCATCAGTACTGGAGCGACCAATAAACAAAGTTCCCTGGACATACCTGCTAGCCAAACCACAAGACGACCTGACGATAAGGGAACAGAAACTAGTTAACAAGTAGTGATATCGCAAACCGTTCGCGAACTTCCCGCCTTCAACATGGATGCTGTCCAGGAGGTGGGAGGGTCTGGGAGGGAGGGTCTGCTGGAGACCGGAGCTCGCCGCAAACGGTTCATGGCGAACCGCGGCGAGCCGTTCGTGGGAAGTTCGCAAACGGTTCGCGGCATCACTATTAACAAGCTGACCTTAGTGGCCAGAAGAGCACTGACCCAACAATGGCTCAGCCCTGACACCCCCCCTATGCACAAAGTGATACACAAAATAAAAGACAACCACACAATGGACAAACTGACAGAGCAGGTACGGAAAAAGTGTTGCAACAATGGGAAGGCTACCTAGATAGGACGGCACGAACACCATAAGGCATACAAGCAAGAACAGGTGACACACATTAACTCAAGAGTGTGGTGGGTGCACCCGGTGGACCCCCCACAACCCCTCCCCACCCCTTCCCACATCTTCCCCCTAACCACCCCAAAAGAAGTTCGGTGTGGACCGAGAGGCAAGAGAGCCTAATGTAATATACACTCTCTGAACTGAGGGTACCAAAAAGTGTAAAATACCAGGTCCCCAACCGAGACCATGAAGGAGAGGACCTATAGCCGCAGCAATATGCACAAATACTGCATGAGGCTTGATAGTTCCTGCAAAGGAATTTCATCAGATCTGAAAATATACGGGCTAGCCGTACACAAAATAAGCACTCAGAAACGTAATAAACCGTGGCACACCCAGTCACAACCGCTGAAAGAAAGGAATGTAAATATGGCTGCTGACTTAAATGAATGTAATACTCACTAACACAGTATGATGTGATAAGCAAATGTAATGGCATTTATATTTGCTGTCGTGGCATTGTAAAGATGATATTGTACACACAAGAATTGTAACGCTCCATTTCCGAACTCACAAAATAAAGAATTAAAAAAAAAAAAAAATATTGGCCACTACTCTACTTGTAAATATGGTAAAATACTGTAGCAATGCTAATGGTATATGAAAAAGCTGGTTTATTGATTCATCTGTTTTTTTCCCCACAGAACACTGACGACGATCAGCCCCGAGATGTGCAAACCAGTGATTGCGATCCCATTCTTGAAGGCAAACTAGGAGTTCAGGTTTTGTCAAAATTCCAAATTGAACAAAATTGGGAAATGTGTGAACCCTGGACTATTGGTGCCCCTGTAGGACTGGAAGAGGAACTGCTGGTACAGAATATTCCTTTGGTTTATTTTTCATGTCAATTAGTATCTTCTTATTTTACACTTTTATATGCTAAAATATTCCACACATAAAATTACACTCCAGACCCCTAGCTTGCTAAAGTGCTTTAAGTATGAAGAGTGTG